ATCAGATTTTTTAAATCCTTTTTGATTTCCATCGGATTTTTAAAATCCTTAACATAGACTCATCAGATTTTTTATATCCTTGAAGGGGCCTCATCGGATTTTTTAAAATCTTTTACGGAGACCCATCGGATTTTTTAAAATACTTTACGGAGACCCATCGAAGATTTTAAATCCTTGACATAGACCCATCGAATTTTTATATCCTTGAAGGAGCCCCATCGGATTTTTCAAAATCCTTTACGGAGACCCATCGGATTTTTTTATATCCTTGAAGGGGTCCCATCGGATTTTATAAATCCTTGAATGGCCCCCATAAGATTTTTTTAAAATCCTTTACGGAGACCCATCGTTTTTTTAAATCCTTGAAGGGAACCCATCGGATTAAGAAAATATTCTCCGTAATCTAATTGTTTTGTTTTGCTGAATTTTAGATTGTTTGGCTTTAAATTTACTGTAGTTATTGCTCTTACTTTCTGATAATGGCATGTATCTCCGTATTTAAGAAAAGTAGCATGTTTACAAACACACAAATTTAAAAAAAAATATTTTAAAATATTGGAGGCTGATGAATTGTACTAAGATTTTCGAATTTATGATTAGTAAATATACTTTTTACTTAACAGCAATATCATTTAATCTCCGCAAAGTAAGAGAGAATTGTAAAAGATTTAAAACTTTATGAATTATTACAATCAAAATTTAAAAAAAAATATGAAAACAATTCTTATAAAAATTAATTAATTATCGAAATATTTTTTTTGAAGACAATAGGGTCCATAATATATCTTATTCATAATTTTTTTTCGAAATAAATACAATGCTGTTCGATAAAAATGACTCACCTCATCCTTTGAATTGAGCTCAATTTTCGTTTCATCGGAGAAGAGAACATTCTTCCGGTCTTCTACGGTGAAATTTTTGTAATAGTGAGCCCATTCAAGTCTGTTGGCTTTGTTGGCTTTGCTTATTAGTATAAAAACAGCTTGAAATAGCCACTCAAGTCCCTCACCAGATTAAAGGGTACAAACACGCATCAGAACCACTTAAGGCATCTATTATTGCCCTCTCAAAAGTAGGCAAGTCTACGAGAGAAATTGCAGAAATTGCTATAACCACGCAATCAAAATGTCTCTTAGGGCACATAATGATGCCACTCCTGCTCCAAGGAAGGAAACAAGGGGACGAAAGAAAAAGATTGATGATAGAACTGGCAGGGTAATCAAGGTAGAAGTTGCGAAGAATAGGACTATAACTAGCCAAGAAATTGCAGCCAGTCTAAGCGAAGAGCAAGGTGTTAGTCTTGCCTCTTCAACAGTCCGTCGGTGCCTGTTAGAACAAGGCTACAAATCTTGTACACGAAGGTTTAAGCCGCTAATAAGCAAAGCCAACAAAGCCAAGAGACTTGAAAAAATGTAGTAAATATAATTTTTTACTTTATGATTCAAAGCAGATTTTAGGTAACTGAGGGTCCTGTTTTACAAAATGAAATTGATGATTTAAATTCTCCAAGGATTTCTGCTTTTAACTAATATAAACATTCGAAAGTTCATGAAATTAAATAAGTGGTGGGTAACAGATATTAAAGAATATATATTTTGACCAAGATTTTCTAAGAATTCATTTGTGAATAAATTTTGAAATTCTCATAAAAAACCGACAATTATTTGATTTTTGCAAGAATTTGCACATCAATGTTTTTCGCTGCAAAAAAAAAAAGACGCTAAAATTTCCGATGCTAATTTTCCCCTACCCACCGCAAAAGAAAAAAAAACTTAAACAAAATTCCGAAGTTTCCAGAAAAGATGAAAAATATAATTTAATAATCGAAAAATCTTTTGGTCTTCCCTCTTAATGATAACATGAACATTTTGATGATCAAACATTATTTTTATTATATTTGGGACATTTTTTCATCTTGGTATGCTCATTTTTTGCGAATATACGGAAATACCTATCCTCAAGGATATAATTTATTCCCTGATTTTAACTTCAGAAAGACGGGCTCGTATTAGACTTAAGTCGAATTATACACAAGTATATACGGTAAAATAGAATATTTTAAACGAAAAGTACATCACACTGTCTTAAATTGTTCGAATTTTTTAACTTTGAATTTCAGATCTTCATATTTTATTTTTGGCGTGATTGGTGATTTTGACACATGTCAGCCCTTGAAGGGGTATTTAATGTCAAATTTTGTATGGGGCACCCAGTGATGATCAAACCCACTACACTGTAGTAAAGACCAATAAAATTATCTCGCCAATCATTAACCCATCCCGTGGCACACAGGTTCAGTACGGGTGGTTGATTTTATGACATGTCAACAATTGAAGGGTTATTTCATGTCAAATTTTGTATGAGGCACTTAGTGAGGATCAAACTCACTACACTGTGGTAAAGGCCAATAAAATTGTCTCTCTTACCATTAAACCATCAGGAGGCATCCAGGTTCGGTTAGGGTGGATGATTTTATGACATATCAGCCCTTGAAAGGGTATTTAATGTCAAATTTTGTATGTGGCACCCAGTGAGGATCAAACTCACTACTCTGTAGTAAAGAAAAATAAAATTATCTAGCTTATCATTACCCTATCGCGAGCACCCAGGTTCGATTAGATTGGTTGATTTTATGACATGTCAACCCTTGAAGTGGTATTTAATGTCAAATTTTGTATGGGCCACCCAGTGAGGATCAAACTCACTACACTGTAGTAAAGACCAATAAAATTATCTCGTCTACCATTAACCCATCCTGTGGCACACAGGTTCAGTACGGGAGGTTGATTTTATGACATGTCAACCCTTGAAGGGTTATTTTATGTCAAATTTTGTATGGGACACCCAGTGAGGATCAAATGCACTACTCTGCTGCAAAGACCAATAAAATTATCTGATCTATCATTATCCCATCCCGAGGCACACAGGTTCGATTAGATTGGTTGATTTTATGACATGTCAGCACTTGAAGCGATATTTAATGTCAAATTTTATATGGGGCATCCATTGAGGATCAAACTCATTACACTGTAGCAAAGACCAATAAAATTATCTCGCCTACCATTAACACATCCCGAGGCACCCAGGTTCCATTAGGGTGGTTGATTTTATGACATATCAGCCCTTGAAGTGGTAGATAATGTTAAATTTTGTATGGGCCACCCAGTGAGGATCAAACTTACTACACTGTTGTAAAGACCAATAAAATTATCTCGCTCATCATTACCCTATCCCGAGGCACCCAGTTTCGATTAGCCTGGTTGGTTTTATGATATATCAGCCCTTGAAGGGGTATTTAATGTCAAATTTTGTATGGGGCACCCGGTGAGGATCAAATTCACTACTCAGTAGCACCCAAGTTTGGTTCGGGTAGTTGATTTTATGGCATGTCAGCCCTTGCCTGGTAATTTAATATCAAATTTCACTAATTTAATGTCACCCATTAAAAGCAAGAAAAATTTAAACCAAAATTTTGAACAGTTGAAAAAGGATCAAAAATATAATTTAATTCAAAATCCTTTATAAAATATTAGGGAGTAGTTTCATTGTAGTAAGCTTTTCCATTTATGATTAGTAAATAGAGTTTTTACTTTTTACTCAATAACAAGATTTTGTAACCGGTACAAATTATTACAGAATTTATAAATTTATAAATTATTATAAATAAAATTAAAAAAAAAAAAATGAAAACAATTCTTGTAAAAATTCAATATACATCGAAATATCTTCTTAAGACAATAGTGTCTATAATATATCTTATTTGTAAGAGTAATGAAAAGCTTTTCTAATTAAATGTCTTAGTTTTATTGCATTTTTTAAGATTTAGAGCAGATTTTTGGTAACAGGATGTCCTGTTTTAAAAAAAAAAAAAAAAAAAAATTCAAGTAAGTCTGCGTGTAACTAATATAAACATCCTACAGTACAATAATTAATTTTTCGAAATTTCATAAAATTAAATAAGTATGTGTATGTGGAGGGTGGGGGGAAACGGATCTAAAATATTGTTATTTCTTAATTAGTAAATAATTAGTGTTATTACTAAGATTTTCAATAAAGAGAAACATTTAAAAAAATAATTTCTTTCATTTGTGGATGAGTCCTAAAAGTTTAATTAAAATCCGACAATTATTTGGTTTTTGCACGAATTTCCAAATCAATATGTTTTTCACAGTAAAAAAAAAAGACGCTAAAATTTCCAATACTAAACTTCGGTTCCGACGCTGAAGCAAGAAAAACAAGATTTTAATCTAAATTTTGAACGTTCTAAAACGGCTCAAAAATATAATTTAATGATCAAAAAATCCTTTGGTCTTTCCTCTTAATGATAACATGGAGATTTTTGACGATAAAACTTCGCTTTTGTTATATTTGGGACATTTTTTTCATCTTGGCATGCTTATTTTTAGCGAATCAGTGTTGGTACTTGTATTAGTTACATAAATAATACGATTAAGATATGTAATATAATTGATGAGCAGGAAAGGCCGGGATCATATTGTCATTGTTGAGATTGTAATATTGTTTAACCAGTCTTATCTGTTTCTTTTGACTGTCGTCGTCGTCGTTGTTGTTGTTGTTATTATTATTATTATTATTATTATTATTCTTTTGTTGTTGTTGTTGTTGTTGCTATTATTCGTTTCCTTCTCTGTGTTGAGATTGTTTATTAGCGTTAAATTTATTTGGCGTTGGGTTGGCCATGCCAAGCTGGTACGTCTGAAGCAGGCGATTCCTCTCTCCTCCCAGCCTGAGCCTTTCAGCCTCAATCAACTGACACCCACCCCGGCCAAAGTTGTGCCACTACCCCACCCCCCTCCACCACCACCACCACAGCCCCACCCAAAACCTCTCCACCATTCCGGATGCTTTGCTGTTTTATTTGTCACTGGACGCCAGTCGATAGCGTTGTCCAATAACATGTAATCGCAAAAGCCATCAATGTCTATGGCTTTCTGCAAAACGTCGACATCTTCTCCCGTGGGGGAATCGTCCGTGTCTATTCAATGGAGGTGTGGCAAAGATAGGTTCTGGCAGACGGTTTGTTTACATATGCCCCAGGGACAGTGGGCATGTGTCAGGCAAGAAAAATGAAAAAGAAAGAAAAAAAGAAAGAAAGCTAGCAAGCAAGGCAGAAAGAAAGAAAGAAAGAAAGAAAGAAAGTAGAATTGTAAAAAAAAAAAAAAAAGGAAGTATAAGAAGTCCTGGAAAGAAAGAAAAAAAAAGAAAGAAAAGGGAAAAATTTTAAAAGACTAAACAAAAGGAGCTAAAAAGAAAGAAAGAAAGAAAGAAAGAATGAAAAAACGAAAGGGATAGGATACCAAGAAATATTAAACAGCGAAAAAGGGGGAAAGAGATATAGGAAAAAAAAAAAAAAAGACAAAAAAAGAAAGATAGTAAGGAAAAAGTAAAAATGAAAGCAAAAAAGTGAAAGAAGTAAAAAGAAAGTAAGATAGAATAAAAGAAAGAACGAAAAAGATAGATATGAAGAAGAAAAAATTGAAAAAAAAGGACGACGAAATTTTGGAATAAATAAAAAAAAGACAGATGGAAGGAAGAAATAAGAACGAAAAACGAAAAAAGGGAAGAAAAAAGAAAGAAAGGAAAAGAAAAATGGGAAAGAAGAAATAAAAATGAAAACGAGAAAGGGAAAAAGAAAGAAAGAAAGAAAGAGAAGAAAGAGAAGAAAAGAGTAGAAAAGGGAAAATTGGAGAAGAGGAGGTGGAAAGGAAGAAAGGAAACAAAGAGAAGAGAAAGAGAGGGAGGGAGAGACTCGGAGAATGTGTCTGATCCAATTGCGTTGAAATCAAATCCTTAAGACAGCGAAATAGGAAAACGGTTTCTTTTGAGCAAAGGATATTAGTTAGGATTAGAATAAAATATAGAAGATGAAATATAATTGGTTGAGTGGTTTACGGTTAGGGTTAAATACAACTGTGTGTGTGTCTGTGTGTGCGGGCACGCGCGTGTGTGTGTCTGTGTGTGCGGGCGTGTGTGTGTGTGTGTGTGTAAGAGAGAAAACAAAATGGAGAGATAACATGTGGATGAGAAAAAAAGACTGTGGTGACAATGAAAGGAAACAATAAACTGACAGAAAGAGAGAGAAATAAAAAGAATGAGAGAGAGAGAGAGAGAGAGAGAAAGAGAGAAAAATAAAGAGAGAGAAAGAGATGGAGAGAGAGAAAGAGAGAAAAATAAAGAGAGAGAAAGAGATGGAGACAAAGAAAGAGATAGAAAAAGAGAGAGTGAAAATGAAAGACAGAGAAAGAGATAGGGTGAGAGAAAGAAAGGGAGAGAAAGAAAGAGAGGGAGAGAAAGAAAGCGAGAGAAAGAAAAAGAAAGAGAGAGTGGAAGAAAGAGAGAAAGCGATAGAGAGAAAGAAAGAGAGAAAGAGGAAGAAAGAAAGAGAAAGAAAGAGATAGAGAGTGAAAGAGAAGTTTTTTTTTTTCATTTTCCTTTAAGGGCTAATAAAATAATAAACGCCTTTTACTGCTAAGTGCTAATACCCTTGTGGAAGGTATGAATCAACTCTTCTTCCCCCAGCTATGGGTAAACAGTAGGACAGGCTGGGTTATATAGCCTTGGGTGGCAACCAGTCTAGCAGAAAGAAAACGTACTGGCGAGGCACATGCTATGCAGCTAAGGAAAGGATCGTTCGCATTGACTCGATGATCACGACTACAGTCGATATTTATTTTTTTACTAAATAATTATAATATATATATATATATATATATATATATATATATATATATATATATATATATATAATCGAATTCAGGCTAAACAAGTCAGTAAAGTTACTAAGACAAAAGAGGTTGATGGATGTGGAAGAATTAGAAAGCAGAAACATTACTAAGGAACAAGAGCAAATGAAGAATAATCAGGAGATCTGTGATTGACATTGCATTTAAACTTTAGATGTAGAGCCGAGAGAGAGAGAGTTCCACAAGCGAGAAGTGCGAGAGAAGAAACTGTTAGCATAGAACTTACGGTTACATCTAGCCTGCTCAACTGTAAAATGATGAGACCTCGCTGACAGTCTAGCACTACACTTAAATTCATAGCATAGCGAAGAGCTTATTCAAAAAATTACCAGGAAATTATTTATAGAAAATGCACAGAGAAGCAACCTTACGGCGATGAGCAAGTTACTAAAGCCGAACCGCGAGATCAGGATCAATAATATTGCTGAATCTTCTTTGGATCTTATCAAGGAGCTAAAGTTAAATAGTAAGGGCACCGGACCATATGTGGCAGCAATATTCTAAGCATGGACGAATGGTAGACTTATAGATATGTAGGATAAATTCCAAGAAGAAAGATTGTCTTGCTCGACACAGTGAACCGACTTTCTTAGCAGCTGATTTAGCGACGGATTCAAGCTAGTCAATGGATTCAATACAGTTTAGCCATAGAAATGAATTTTCCATAATGACTTGGAAACATTTATGTTTGAAAATGTTCATATTAATTAACAGGTCACATGAAAATAAAAATTTCAACATCAGACTGGTTTTCACATTCCATATATATATATATTAATTTTTACATTATTCTCATCTTTATTCCCATATTTATCACAACGTTTCGGCCGTTGTACTCTCCGGCCTTCTTCAGGTGGTTGAACCCCCACTGGCGTAGACTGTTCTAATTCCACGTGCCATCTTTGATGGTTGTCAGTTATCAGTTATCTCCTGTTAATTTCCACTGACTTAACCGGGTATTGAACTCACACTCTTTGGGTCCTGTCACTGAATCTAACCAACGCCTTTATCCACTGTGCCATGTGTCCTTGAGGACATCTGGGCACGAATTTCTGGGTATTATAAACCTAATGTCTTCAGGTACCATTTTTACCAGTGCTCATATTGTAATTTTTACTGTTATCATTGCATGTTTTTTTTTTACCACAACTCATATTGCAACTTTGTTGTTATCATTGCTTTTCTCTGGCACTCCTTATTACTGGTTCCCATATTGTATTTATTTCTATGCTTGGTCGGCTCAGGAGATTTTTGTGGCTTAGCATATGTGCTGATTCCATAAGTTTACGAATTTTCCAATGGTGTTCCCTGTCTTTGATCTCAACATGATCCCACAGGGAGCGGTGATCACCCTTCTCTCTCCATAATGTAAATAATGTACATAATACCTCATCTCAGAAATATAGACAGATTAATTTTTGCTCTGTAATACATTGAGCTCTTTTTATGGATAAGAACTCAATGTATTACAGACCAAAAATTAATACATAATAAACTCCAAAATCACTTCATATAACTGCAATATATATATATATATATATATATATATATATATATATATATATATAAATAAAAGAGAAATAATAACTTACAAACTTCAAAATACCTTCTCCTGTGTGGGTTGCTTACTTTTCTTATAAGAAAACATTCAGCATTCATGACTGACTATCCGGTTTAAATTTATAAAATTTTAATTCCCCGGATTCCATTTACAAAGTCCATTCAAGAGGCATCGAGAGAACGGTGAATAATTTTAAAAAAGAAGTAACAGTAGAGAGGAAAATTGGATCAGGAGGTCACAACATCAAAAGGAATCATCATTTCAACTCAGATCAACATACATTGTTATTGTTCAAAGTAGAAACCAATATTTTTATTAAAAAAAAACTTAGAGAATTCCAGTAAGAAGATATCTATAATCAATTCTAAGATACAACAAGTTAAAGCTTAATCTAACAACTGGACAATTTTGCTGTTACACCCGGTCTATCTATCTATCTATCTATCTATCTATCTATCTATCTATATATATATATATATATATATAGAGAGAGAGAGAGAGACAGAGAGAGAGACAGAGAGAGAGACAGAGAGATAGTCATAAGGTGTGCTATATTTATGGGATAAAGTGCTCAATATCAGAGATAGAGCGTGTGTAAATATAAAAGTGAACATTTAAGTCAACACTCAGAGGCGACAGTCTGTTTCATTCTAGACGCAATTGTCAGGCTACCTAGCATTTCTTTAAGACAGTCGCCTCTAACTTTTTATATTCACTTTGTTTATTATATATATATATATATATATATTTATATATATATATATATATATATATATATATATATATAAGATAGATTCTTCTTTATAAATTTTTAATCAGGTAAATATATATACAAGCACCAAACCATATGTTTCAATATTCTAAGATACCTTATAAGACTTGGTTGTTATTTTTCTTCTTTGATTTTATTCTCTCTAAATATATAGAAGAATCACAATGTTTTTTAATATTCTATGTGGTAGACATAAATGTATAAGCAATATTCTTTGGATTTAATCAAGAATTTCTAAATATACGAATTACCAAGTCATATGTGGCATATTCTAAGCATTTAAAATGGTAGACTTATATTGATGTATAAGATATACATTCTTCTTTGGATTTTATCAAGAATCTCTAAATATATAGCAGAAGCACTAAACCATATGTGGCAGCAATATTCTAAGCATGGACGAATGGTAGACTTATAAATGTGTAAGATAGATTCTTCTTTGGATTTTATCAAGAATCTCTAAATATATAACAGAAATATTATGTGGAAATAATTCTAATATGTGGTTAACAGCAAATATTCTAAGAATTCTTCTTTGGATTTTACAAGAATGGAAAAATATAAATTTTTGTAAGACCATATGTGGATTTCTTTTATTGGACAGAATGGTAGAATATAAATTTAATTTATTCTTTGTTTTGGAGTTATCAAAAACTCTTAATATATAGCAAGAATTCTAAGAATTTGTGGCAGCAATATTCTAAGAATGGACAGATCTATAACTTATAAATGTGTAGATATTCTTCTTTGGATTTTATCAAGAATGAATAAATATATAAAGGAGCACCAGACCATATGTGGCAGCAATATTCTAAGCATGGACGAATGGTAGACTTATAAATGTGTATCTATATAGATTCTTCTTTGGATTTTATCAAGAATCTCTAAATATATAGAAATGCACCAGACCATATGTGGCAGCAATATTCTAAGCATGGACGAATGGTAGACTTATAAATGTGTAAGATAGATTCTTCTTTGGATTTTATCAAGAATCTCTAAATATATAGCAGAAGCACCAAGTCATATGTGGCAGCAATATTCTAAGCATGGACGAATGGTAGACTTATAAATGTGCAAGATAGATTCTGGAGAGAAAAATTGTCTTGCCCGACACAGTGAACCAACTTTCTTAGCAGCTGACCTAGCAATGACTTCAAGATGCCGGCCGAGAATATTAGCCCGAGAGGGCACAACAAATCACTCTCATGGAGATTAGCATCACCCATTAGGTCTCTCAGATGATTAATAGAGAGCAGTTTCGTTTTAGTGGTGTTCAAATTAACGATCCATTCTTTGCCCCAGTTAACAAGAGACTGAAGATCGTTCAGTCGCTAATTTGACCTTATCGAATTGATCAGACTTACTATCAAGTTAGTTGTTATCAAAGATACGAAGTGAAGAGCTGAAGCCATCGGGAATGTCGTTAATGAAAATTTAAAAAAACAAAAAACAAAGTCGGACTAATGATAAAGACCTGGGGACATCTGCATTAGTACAAAGGGATCTAGAACAGTTGTCGTTCAGGATAACTTTCATTTCACGATTTGATAAGAAAGACTGGATCAGTTAAAAAAAAAAAATTCGTCGGTAGACACCGTAACTTTTCAACTTGTGAAGGAGACATATTCGCCAAACCCTGTCGAACGTTGTCGTGATGTCCAAAACTACAGCCTCAGCTCCACCATTTTTATTTATAGCTTAGTAGACTTTCCGCCATGATCGTCAATATATCAGCAGTTGACCAAGAGAAACGAAAGCAATATTGCTTGTCTGAAAGAAGACCCTGCGATATGAGATGCTTAACTAATTCAGCATTGATTAGGTCCTCGAGTAATTTGCCAATCTGAAGTAGAAGGCTAATACGCCGATAGTTGCAAGGGTCGGGCGGTTCATTCCGGTTCATCCGGGTTCATCTGGGTTCTTAAAATATTATCGGAAATTATTTATGAATCAACCAAATACAAATTGTGGAGAGCTATAAGTCAACCTAATAAAAGTTTGATATTGTAGGTCTGTATGTAAGTAGCCGAAACGGGGCTCTGTAAGCAAACGTATTAAATTAATATTCCGCTAAAATGCACGAACATAAAAATAAAAGAGCAAATTAGCATCATCGTTAACCCTGTTCTACTTGGCCTCAGTATTCATAACTAATAGCAAAAAAAAAAAAAAAAAAAATTGAATGAAGATGACACGAACGACATGTTTAAGGAAGCCGAAACGGTGTTTTGTTGCCAGAGGCATTAAATTAAAGCCCCCTTCCCGGCGAGGCCACTAAATTTTAAAAAGTGTGTCACTGGGCGGTTCCTTGAATGAAAAAGTTTTAGAATGACAGGTAGAACCAATAA